TGTTAAGCTACGTAACATGCTATCTGTTTCTGATGCAGAAAAGTTAGTTCATGCATTCATGACCTCGAGACTAGATTACTGTAATGCTTTATTAGCTGGTTGTCCTGCATCTTCAATAAACAAGCTACAGTTAGTCCAAAATGCAGCCGCTAGAGTTCTTACTAGGTCAAGAAAATATGATCATATAACACCGATTCTATCATCTCTGCACTGGTTACCTATTAAGTTCCGTATCAATTACAAAGTACTACTACTGACCTATAAAGCCCTAAATGGTTTAGCTCCTGTGTATTTAATGGACCTTCTATCGCCCTACAATCCATCGCGTTCTTTAAGATCCCGAAATTCGAGGCTTCTGGTCATTCCTAGGATATCTAAGTCCACTAAAGGAGGGAGGGCGTTCTCACATTTAGCTCCTAAACTCTGGAATAGCCTTCCTGATACTGTTCGTGGCTCAGACTCGCTCTCCCAGTTCAAAAATAGATTAAAGACGCATCTCTTCAGCCAAGCATTCACATAATGCTTACCTTTTATACCACTGTTGAATCAGATCGACTGCATTAATATTATGAACAGCAGCTACGCTAATTATTTCCCATCTGCTTTTCTGCTGTTATCTCGGGACGCTAGTCCCGAGGTAAATAGCGTTCGTCAGCTCCAGTTTGTATCCAGCCTCTCACGGAGACTTCAGATGCTCCAACACCTGCGATGAGACGACTCGACGCCTGTGAAGAGACGACTCAACGCCGGCGATATGTTATGCCCTAAATTAATACATGATGATTAACTAACTATATTCTTCTATGTACATTTCTGAAATGCACTTTCTGTAAAGCTGCTTTGAAACAATATGTATTGTGAAAAGCGCTATACAAATAAATTTGAATTGAATTGAATTGAATGTATTCGTTCCAGTATATTTCCTTCCTTGGGAGTAAATGCCAGTTATCTGTTTTTCTCCCAAACGAGTGAATGTTTTAGCATTATGTTTTGGTATACTTAACTGATAATAAGGAGCTCAGACTCTCTTCAGCCTTGATGGGAGCTGTTATTTGCTAGTGTCTGTTATTTGTGTGTGTGTGTGTGTATGACATTGTATGTAGGTTCTGGACGTTCGGACCAGACACCCCGGCGCCCTTCTCTAACCTGCGAGGCCACCACAGACCTAAATCTAATGAGTGGACGACAACTATCTTTACTAATGGCGATAGGCACCCCTATCTCCTCACATGTGTTAAATTGTTTAGGCTTTCATGTTTCTTAGCCAATGAGAATCATTCAACCTGTAAGCAATGACGTAGCTTAGACCTTGGAAATGGTATAACTGCTGTGATCTTTAAGCGAGGCGGCCTACGAACTCCTGTGTGAGTCTTGAAGCTGACTTCTGCTGATGAAACTGCAAACTATCTTCAGTAAAACTTTTCTTTAATTTTTTATAATTCTGACTCCGGGTCTTCATTCTTCATATCTGGTTCTGGGTCTTTGACTGTATACCCCTTACAATTGCTTGTTTGTCCAAACCACCTTAGAGTTAGCAACCGGCCATGAAAAAAATAACACTCTTTCAATGTCAATGTTCCTAGATTGCCAGGAGCAGCCTATCTCTTTTGTCCCTTTATAAATTGTGGTCTTCATCATTTAATGCCACAAATTTTAAGCTGACAAAGCAGGAACACTTTATGGAGAAAGTGCTGTTAAATCACCGGGGTGCCTGCTCCTTGGTAAGAGCCCGGATAGCTCAGGCGGTAGAGCATCAGACTTTTAATCTGAGGGTCCAGGATTCAAGTCCCTGTTCGGGTGAAGGTCTGTCAGTTTGTTGCAGACCTCCCCTAATCACTTGCTGTCCTCTTACCAGCCTTTGAGGGAGGTGGGCTTCCTCTTCAAGAAAAGATGTGGCGATGTGTTATTTCCCAGCATTTGGTGTTGTTTTGCCTTCTGTACTGCTTGTTTGCTGTCTCAGCAAGCAGTGGTGGGGGACTTTAGAGAAACGAGCTGAAGCTTGCTGTCGACTATGTATGTTCAGTCACTTCTAAGCGGCCTTGTGCAGGCCTGAGAGAGTGGTTTGCTTTCTCTGTATAGTGTTTAGTACTTTGTGTTGTGCCCGCAGCATCCCCAGTCCAAATCCGGATCACGACACTCTTTTCGTGTAGGTGAAGACGTCGTTGAACTCCTTTCGTCGTTGAACTCCAGCAGAGGATGCACTCGGCGAGCAGCCGAGTGCATCCTCTGCTGCTCGCTTTTGCATTGATGGTTGGCCCCAGTGTCCTCTGTTGCTCACATCCAGAAAAAAAATAGCTTGTGACCCACAGGCAGGAGTAGTCGTGGCCGAGAGGTTAAGGCGATGGACTAGAAATCCATTGGGGTCTCCCCCGCAGGTTCGAACCCTGCCGACTACGTGGATCCTCGTCACTTTGTCTGTTTGCGACAGGAATTGTGACATCCAGGAGCTGTGTACAATCTGGATTTTTCTCTTACTTCATATGCAGCACTTAAAATGGGCAACTCACATCTCTTTTCAAGCTTGAAGTGACCACCATTTCAAAAGGCCCAGATCATCTGTGATTTTGCCCATTCTATTCAGGCAATCGGAGCAATGGCTTTGGCATCCACGATAACTTCAAGGCCTTCACAGTGTGCAGCTCAAGAGTTGCCGCATTCTATTTGGTGGAGAATCTGGCATATTAGTGTTTTGAAATGTCGGATTTGTTCTCTCTTAGCATAGTGAAACAGAAACCTACTCAATTTATGTACCAATTACTTGTTTGTCCAAACCACCTTAGAGTTAACAACTGGCCATGAAAAAAAGAACACTCTTTCAATTTCAGTGTTCCTAGCTTGCCAGGAGCAGCCTATCTCTTTTGTCCCTTTTTAAATTGTGCACATCTCTTTTCAAGCCAGAAGTGAGCACCGTTTCAAAAGGCCCAGATCATCTGTGATTTTGCCCATTCTATTCAGGCAATCGGAGCAATGGCTTTGGCATCCCCGATAACTTCAAGGCCTTCACAGTGTGCAGCTCAAGAGTTGCTGCATTCTATTTTGTGGAGAATCTTGCATATTAGTGTTTTGAAATGTCGGATTTTCTCTCTCTTAGCATAATGAAACTCATTATGTACCAATTACTTGTTTGTCCAAAACACCTTAGAGTTAGCAACCGGCCATGAAAAAAAGAACACTCTTTCAATGTCAGTGTTCCTAGCTTGCCAGGAGCAGCCCATCTCTCTTGCCCCTTTACAAATAATGGTCTTCATCATTTGATGCCACAAATTTTAAGCTGACAAAGCAGGAGCACTTTATGGAAAAAAAGTGCTGTTAACTCCCAGAGGTGCCTGAACCTTGTCATTGAACTCCTTTTTGCCATCACAGTACTTTAGCCGAGTGCATCCTCTGCTGCTCACATTGGCATTGATGGTCGGCCACGGTGTTCTCTGTTGCTCACATCCAGAAAAGAAAATAGCGTGTGACTCACAGGCAGGAGTAGTCGTGGCCAAGAGGTTAAGGCGATGCACTCGAAATCCGTTGGGGTGTCCCCGCGCAGGTTCGAACCCTGCCGACTACGTGGATCCTCGTCACTTTGTTTGTTTGCGACAGAAGTTTGAGCTGCTTTTTTCTTTAACTTCATATGCAGCACGTATATAAGGAAACCCACATCTCTTTTCAAGCCTGAAGTTAGCACCGTTTCAAAAGGCCCAGATCATCTGTGATTTTGCCCATTCTATTCAGGCAATTGGAGCAATGGCTTTGACGAGGACTGGTGGTTACAGCCGTGTCCCTGAGCGATACGGCACTGTATGCTCAACCTTTGAGAAGTCACTGAATACTGGACATGCGGTCATCTGGTGATGGGGCAGATTCTTATTACATTTGCTCCTTCCTCTAATTGAAATGGATGTATTATTGTTTTAACAAAAAAAGACAAAAAGCTGGGTGGGAGGAGCATGCACCAGACATTACCCTTGCTGAGCATGGTGGTAGCACATTGTCCCAACGTCTCATGGTTACAGCTCGAGTTTCTCTTCATTCACGCATAAATCTTTCGCCTTTTACTAAAGATTTCCGTGGAGGGGAACATTTGCGAGTTACTGGTATTTTTGGATGCTCTGCTCACAGCAGAGCTACATGCGTTTGTTCAAAAACAGAGGACTTTTGGCGGCTTGCTCCGCAGAACTGCAGCAGGTTGGGCCAGCGTTCGAGAGTGGCCCAACGGTTCGGCCGTTTTGTCCATGTCTGGAGCTGGGTGGTCGTCAAACCATCACCACTTTCCCAGTTCACAACTTCAAATCTTGGGTCAGCAGCATGATTGTAAGGTTTACCAATCACAAAAGGGTAGTGGTGGGAGCAACAAAGCCTTTCAAAGCTTTCAACTGATTGCTTTGCAAATTGATTAACTGTTTTGACGCATTCGGAAGGCCACACTGGTGACGCATTCGGAAGGCCCCTGCTGGTCAGACTGGAAATGCAACAGTGGAAATGCCACAAAAACTCAGGCCAAACATGCATAAAACAACCTTTTACAAACCCATTGCAAGCGCTTTCTTGAAGGTAAAATCTTTCAAATGGAATTAGCTAACCACCCTCAGGTGAGTCTTGAACGGCAGGTTGGCTTTATCAGCAGTTTCAACGGCAGAGCTTGAGCTCATACAAGGTGTCTGGCCGTGATAAAGAAGAAGCCTCCCCGTCGAGGAATCGAACCCCGTTCTTCCGCGTGACAGGCAGAGATACTGTCCACTATACTAACGAGGACTGGTGGTTACTGCAGTGTCCCTGAGCGGTACGGCACCGTATGCTCAACCGTTGAGAAGTCAAGAATACTGGACATGCGGTCATCTGGTGATGGGGCAGATTCTTATTACATTTGCTCCTTCCTCTAATGGAAATGGCTGTATTATTGTTTTAACAAAAAAGACAAAAAGCTGGGTGGGTGGAGCGTGCACCAGACATTACCCTTGCTGAGCATGGTGGCATGTGTGTGGTAGCACATTGTCCCAACGTCTCATGGTTACAGCTCGAGTTTCTCTTCATTCACGCATAAATCTTTCGCCTTTTACTAAAGATTTCCGTTGTGGCGATATGGAGAAAAACGATCCATATCAGCTTTTTCACATTTCATTATGGGCGGAAACCAATAGGGAAATGGAAGATAAAAGAGAGAAAGAAACGGAAGTGAGAGAAAAAAAAAAAGAGAACGGAAGTGAGAGAACGAAAAAGAGGAAACACACGTGTAGGAGATTGAAGTGGGACCCAAGTTACCTGAAGAAAGTTGCTGCTATTGTCTGCTGGACGTTCTGTGTGTGCGCTGCTGGGTGCGATTGCTAAAGTGACGGAGAAAAACCGCTCTTCCTGGTTCATTGCGTTGCCTGGAGCCACACTATCCAGATTGGTTCACCTGCCTCGGGTTATTGAAGTGGGACGCTCACGCTACCTGAAAGACGTTGCTGCTGTTATCCGCTGGAAATCCTGTGTATGCGCTGCTGGGTGCGATTGCTAAAGTGACGGAGAAAAACCGATCTTCCTGGTTCGTTGCGTTGCCTGGACTGGAGCAACACTATCCAGTTTGATTCGCCTGCTTCAGGTACTGATCTTGTTGCCATCACTTTGAACCCTCACGTCAAAGCCTTTGAACTCTCCTCCGAACTTTTTAATCTCACATAAACATTCAAAGCTTATTTTCCCGGCCAAGGATTCCCGGCCATTACACAGACTGCTTCACGTGGTCATTATACAACCACACACACACACACTCCGTACACGCACGCGCATACACCAAATACACATATGTATTTGTTTATTATTTTTCTTTTTTTTGTTTATTGTGACTGAGTTCAAACAGATACCAAACTATTTGACACTTGTGATCAAAGGACTTTCCTGATTTCTCTTGGTGTGAAAATGTGAAATTGAAATTGTTTACTTGTCTGTTGTTTTTTTTGTTTTTTTGTGAACAACAGATTAATACAAACTCTGTGAAAAATTGAATTGTGGGTATCAGTTTATTATTATTTTTTGTATGTAACAGTGGTTGGAGCTATCCAGCATATATATATATATTTTTTTTTTTGACAAGGTGAACTTGTCTGGCGCCCGAACAATTTAAGCTAAATTTACATAAATAAAAACCCAAATTTGATTTGGGGCAGCCACCGTTACATAAGTGGCGCCCGAACAGGGACCTTTGAAACTGTGAGACTGAACCTCAGATATATATATATAAAAAAATAAAATATAAAAAAATAAATAAAAAAAACTTTAACTTTGAATTTGCGTTTCCCTAGAGGAATACTTAAAGGTTGGTTATTGTCACTTTTGTTTGTGAATATTTTTTTTTTCCCATATACTATATACATATAACGGGAACTGTTTAAAAAAAAAAGAAAAAAAAAAAAGGAGGGTTTTGTGAGAAAATACTTTTCTAAACTGTGGGAAATAATTTTTTGTTTTGAAACCTAATTGATTTGGTGAGATAAGTGAACACTAGTGTGAATTGGTGTGACAGACAGACAGCGTATTCTTTATTCACACTAAGCTGTAAGTGTATTCTGTTGTAGGTTTTTTTTTTTTTTCAAACATTTGTACATTGTTTTTTTTATTTAACTTGCATTTATTTATTTTTTTCCACTGAATATACATACACTGACACACTGACAAACAAAGATGAGCTGGCTGAAAGAGTAAGGACAAGAACACAGGGAGAAAGAGAGGGCATTAGAGACTTTGCATTCACCTACAGAGCTCTCTGCAAGAGGTGGAAACCCACTTTGACGGACTGTGAATTGGTGAAAATGATCTTAAAAAATATGAATCCCTACCTTGCAAGCCAGATACGGAGTCGGGTTAACACAGTCGATGAACTCGTGAAATTAGGCCAACAGCTTGAAAAAGACTATGAACAACAACTGCAATATGAAAAACGTGTGAGTTCTAAGCAACCCATATCTGCTCAGCAAAGACTTCTTTCCAACCGACCAGCAGAGAAACCTGTAGTGCAATGTTGGCGATGTAAAGGACATCACTCACCCGGAAGTTGTCCTCACTTTGTCACCTCTCAGTCCCAGTCACCTCAGTCCACCAACCAACACTCTTCTTCCGGTAGCCAGCGGACAACATTTCCAGCCTCTAAAGGTACCGGTCCACCTGGAAATCGCTCGGTGTCTTCCAACTTTTCCCACAAGTCACCAACAACTGGTAAGAAACCACCACTTACTGTTGTTCCACAACAATTAGTGATACCACTCTGTATTGGTACCTGGAAGGGAAAGGCTATTGTTGATACTGGGGCCAGCTACACCCTTCTACATGAGTCTCTCTGGAAGGAGGAGCTCACCTCACAAAGACTCCATCCATGGACCCAGGGTCCGCTCTACCTAGCCAATGGGGAAGCAGAAATTCCTTTAGGTTGGATAGACATGCCAATCACCCTACATCAAAAAGTATTCACCATACCTGCTGTTGTTCTATCAGCCAAAGCCCTGGCCTATGCAGTCGTATTAGGACTGGACTTTATCTTCTTCAGTGGGCTGCAGATCAATGTGGCAGATCAAAAGTATTCCTTTCAGTCCAATCCTAAAGAGGATTATCCTTTCCAGCCAACAAATGCCAGTGTACCAGTTATCAGCTCCCAACATCTAAGGGGAAAGATGGTAAATCCTAACAGCCTCTCACTATTAACTTCTGTTCCTCCTCCTCAACTTAACACAGTTCAACCACCAGCCTACCAAGATGAAAATACATTGATTGACACTGCTGTACATGACGCCCACTTACCTCCGGAAGGCAAGCAACAGCTACGGCAGATCCTCGAGTCAAACCCTCAAGTTTGTACCATGCGTCCAGGACGTACTGAAGTTATGCAGCATCACATATACACTACCCACCAAGTACCTATAAAACAAAGACCGTACCGCACGACACCTACTAAACAAGCTGTCATAAAAGAGCAGCTGGAAGAGATGTTGACTGCTGGCATCGTAGAACCGTCACACTCTGGATGGGCCTCACCTGTCGTCTTAGTCCCTAAAAAAGACGGAAGTCTTAGGTTTTGTGTAGACTACAGGAAAGTTAATGCCATTACAGAGAATGATGCCTACCCTTTACCCAACATCACTGAAATATTGGAATCATTATCTGGAGCAGCCATCTTCTCCACCATCGACCTTAACAGTGGCTACTGGCAGGTAAACATGGATCAGGACAGTAAACCAAAGACTGCTTTTACAACTCAATCAGGACTGTTCCAGTTTAATGTTATGCCGTTTGGATTAAAAAATGCCCCAGCAACCTTCCAAAGGCTGATGGAGAGTGTTCTAGGTGAATTGCGTGGAGACATTTGTTTCGTTTACATCGATGACATAATTATTTACTCACCATCTGTAGAGCAGCACTTCATCGACCTCCAGGTTGTCCTTTACAAGTTGCAAACAGCGGGCCTAACCATTAATTTAAAGAAAAGCACGTTCTGCCTTCAGGAAATAACCTTTCTAGGACATGTCGTCAACGTTCAAGGCATAGCTGCAGACCCAAGTAAAGTGGAGGCTATACGGGAATACCCTGTGCCCACCAACATCAAGGAAGTCCAGCGTTTCCTGGGGTTAGCCGGGTGGTACCACCGGTTTGTACCAAACTTCTCCAGTATCGCTGAACCCATAAATGCACTGAAAAAGAAAGGACATTCTTTTATCTGGTCACCACAATGTCAGCAAGCCTTTGAATATTTAAAATGCTGTCTTACCTCTCCTCCAATTCTTGGCCATCCGGACCTTCAACTTCCTTTTACTGTGTATACAGACGCCAGTGACACTGGTTTGGGAGCTGTGCTGACCCAGCGCAAGGAAAAAGGTTTGGAAGAAGTTATTGCCTATGCTAGCAGGACCCTGAACAAAGCAGAGACCAATTACTCAACCACCGAAAAAGAGTGTTTGGCTGTAATTTGGGCCTTAGAGAAATGGCAGCACTATCTAGAGTACAAACTGTTCACTGTCATCACGGACCACTCTGCACTACAATGGGTAATGTCTTCGACAAAAACCACAAGTCGCCTCATCCGATGGGCCTTACGACTTCAGAGATTCGATTTTATCATTGAATATCGCAAAGGAAAACTGAATATGGCACCTGATGCTCTGTCTCGGATTCACACCAGTTGTAACCTGTACACTAGCCAACAGGAGGATGCTGAGCTTCCGATGTCTCCAGCCACAATCTGGGAGGAACAGCACAAAGACCCTGTCATCACCAACACACTTCAAGCACTTGCAGAAAATGATTCTCCTCTAAAGGATCAATATGAGATAGTGGAGGATAAACTCTATCACAAAACTCACCTGCCAAACAATCGAGTTCATTACAGAGTGTACATTCCTCACAGCCTTGTGTCGTCTATTCTACACCACTACCACTCTAATCCCTGGAGCGGTCATGTAGGTATTTATAAGACCTACAAGCGTATCCATGATGTTGCATTCTGGCCTGGAATGTGGACTGACATAAAACACCATGTTAAGAAGTGTGTTAAATGTCAGACCCTTAAGGGAGAAAATCAGAAACCTGTTGGAAAACTTCAACAAATCACCACCACCCGTCCCAACGAGATGCTTGGAGTGGACATTATGGGGCCAATGCCACGTAGCACTCAGCAAAATGAGTACCTCTTGGTCTTTGTAGACTATTACTCCCGCTGGGTGGAATGTTTCCCCATGCGCAACGCTAACGCTCAGACTGTTGCCTTACTCCTTCGGAAGGAAATTCTAACCCGTTGGGGGGTGCCGGACTTCATTCTGTCGGATAGAGGTACACAATTTGTGTCATCACTGTTCAGAGAACTCTGTCAAAAGTGGAGTATCAAACCTAAACTGACAACATCATACCATCCACAAACAAATATGACAGAGAGGGTTAATCGTACGCTCAAATGCATGATTTCTGCCTATGTGGATAACAATCACAGAAAATGGGACCAATACTTACCGGAACTCCGTTTCGCTATTAATTCAGCTGTCCAGGAAACGATCGGGATGACCCCTGCAGAACTTCATTTGGGGCGGAAACTGCAAAGTCCCATGGACAAGTTGTTACATGGCAAGAATCTAACTCCAGACTGCACATCCTACGACACAGTCCACCACCTGGC